GAGAACATCACAGGCAGAGGGACCCCCTCAGGGGGGCTGGCTGGGCTGGAAAGGTAAACCACCCTTTGGGGCAGTGAAGGCACTTCCCCTAGGAGGGCCTCAGCTGGAGCAGCCATCGCCTGCCAAGGGCCCGCAGAGGGCCAGGAGTCCACCACGGGCAGCCCCCCAGAGGGAGGCCAGGTCTGTGGCCCGGAACCTCCTGCAGGGCGGGCGTCTGGTGGAAGGTCATTGAGCCCCAGAGGAGCCCTCACTAAATCGTTAGGCTCAGGGTCTAGCCTGGGCTGAGGATGCTCAGAGTTCAAGGGCCCCGTCAGGGAAGGCTGTCCAAGCAGAGACACAGCAGGCCCCGAGTTTGGGGGTGCTTTCCCCTCCACCGTCCCGATGCTCCGGGCCAGGAGACCTGAAGGAAAGAGAAGGTAAAGCAACCAGCGGCTCAGATGCCTGGGCCCAGCGCCCTCCCTTCCCTCGTCCCTTCCCTTCCCTCAGGGACCCACATGTCCCAGCTCCTCAGGGGTCCCGGTCCCTCCTGTGCAAGGGTCAGGGACAGCCCCGTACCTGGGAGGTGCAGACAGACCAGGAGCAGGCCCAGGGGAGCCCGGCTCCCTGCCACGCAGCTCTGCATCCTGCAGCCTGGCCCCGCCGGCCCTGGGCAGCAACCTTTATCCTGTGCGTGGGGCGGGGGGTGCGGGGCGGGCTGGGCCAGTGGTTGTTCAGACAATAGACCTCCACGTTCCACCCTCACTCCTAATCCGCTCTGTGGCAACAGGTGCCACCTGAATGTCCCGGAGGACGCGGGTGTCCCCACCCAGGCTCCTTTCCTTGTGCTCCGGCTCCCTCTGTGACCAGGTGTTCTGGCTCCCCGCTCAGCCCTGGTCGCCAGCCAGCCCTACCCCTCCCCGAGTCACCTCCAAGTCCCCATCTCTCCCTCACCTCTGAGCCGCGGGAGGCTATTGGGAGGCTATTCTCTTCGGGATCCAGAACATTCTCTCCCAGCACCCCGTGCTCATGCATCCCATCTCCCTCACTTTGACCCCAGGCTGCAGGAGGTTCTGGGGGGGCAGGAGTGGCCCCCTGTGAGGGGCTGCCCCTCGGTGAGGCCCTGTGTCTAGGGGACTGGGCCCAGTTCCCAAGCTCGTGGCATGGCGGGTGCTGATTCTGTTCCCGCTGTAACAAGTGGCCGCTCACGTAATGGCTCACGACAGCACGAGTTTACTACCTTCCAGTTTTGGAGATCGAAAGTCCCACGTGGGCCCGGTCTCGTGGCACAGCTGGTGACACACAGAACCGCAGTGCCGGAAGCCACAGGGCCACGGCCTCCAAAGCCCTGAGACGGGCCTGAGACACACCAGGGCTGTCCACACGGCCCGCGGCCGTGACGTGATCGGATTCTCTGGAGGCCCCTCTCTCCCCCTCCTCCTCCCCCTCCTCTCTCTCTCCCCCTTCTCTCCCTTCTCCCCCTTCTCCCCCTCTCTGTCTCACACACATGCTCATATACGCCATCATGATTACTTTCTACAGGGCGCATGCGCTAGCCAGAGAGCGACAGAGAGTAAGTGAGAAGTGATCCCCTAGGGGTTGGTCACACTGCGGTCCCTTCTCCCTCACTCCCCTCTCGGGATTGTAGGCACGCACACACATGGGCCCTGTGTGTTTCTCAAGCCGGGCCTGGGACTCAGATTGTGCAGGGCCAGGAGGGATCCAGGCACTGTAATCTCCGTACCACCTGCTGGGGCTCAGGAATTACATTTTTTTTTTTAATTTCAAAATTGTTCCCACTGGGTTAAACTCAAGGCATCAGCAGGGCTGTGTTCCTTTCCGAAGGCTCCAGGGCAGAATCCATCCTGGCCTTTTCCGGCGTCTGGAGGCCCCCTGCCTCCCTTGGCGCGTCGTCCTCCCTCCATCTTCAAAGCTGAAAGCAGCAGGTTCTCTGCCCACTGTGCCACCCTGACCTCTCTGCCTCCCACGTCCACCGCCCTGCCCTGCCAGCACCCTGGACCCGCCCAGATAACCCGGCATCGTCTCCCTGCTTAAGGTCAGCTGACACCCGCAGTTCCTCCTGCAACCGTGGACCCTAACATGCTCGCGAGTCCGGGGCCTGACGTGGACACCTTGGTGGTGTCGGAGGCGCCGTTCTACCCACCACAGCCGGCCAGCTGTGTGCAGAGAACGCCAGACACCCTGAGGCCCGCTTTTTCCACATTGCAGAAGAGGCCATGTGAAGGCCGTTGCCAGATAGCCATGGCGTGACCAGCGCGGGAGCCGGGTGGCGGGAGCACAGGGGTGCAGCGGGTACCGCCTCTGCTCTTGCACACCCCCGTTCTCGCCACCGCTGCTGGGAGGCCCAGGGGAGACCGCGTGGCTGCCTGAGGTGTAGACATTTGCCGTGAGCGCTCCCCTCAGCCCGGCCCGCTGGCTAGCTATGGGCAGAGTGGGTGGAGCACGGTGGCCTTTTGGGTGACATGCACCAGTTTTGCAAAAGCTTCTAACTCGAACCATCCAGAGACTAGGGGAGTGCCTTATCTGACAGCCTGCCCCACCCTATAACCCCACCCGTGGAGCCTCCAAGGCCTGGGTTCCTGCCATTGGTTGCAGTCGGGCCGAGGCTGGACCAGGATGATCGCGGGAAGCAGCCGCTGGACAGTTTGGGGGCCCTGCTTCGTCTTCGGCAGCCCCTCTGGTCGGCCCAGCTGCCCGGCACTTCGGGCCAGGGTACACCTGTGCTGGTGCAGACCTGGAGTTTCAACGGTCTTAACTCAGGACCAGCTCAGACTACCCCACCAGGAGAGAACGCCTTCGAACCCGGAGTGGGGTGAATTCTTGCAGCTCTGTGAGGCCCCTTCCTGTGGGGACAAGCACAGCCCGCCCGTCTCTCCTGGCTGGGAGCACTTCCTGGGCCTCGCCACACTCCCACCCTCACCCCTCCATGGAGAAAGAGGCCGAATCTCTCTGCAGCGCTGCGCTCACCCCTCGCCTGAGCCGTCTGGCCCACAGCTCTCACCGGGGCCTGGCTGCAGCAGAGACAAGTGCAGAGGGTGGGGCAGACACTGCGGGCTCGGTCCTGCCTCAGCTGAGAGCAGTGAGTCGGCCAGTGAGTCACCCCGCTTGGCTGGCCTCCCCGCCTCACTCCCTTCCTCTCTGTTTCGTACTCTCTCCACCCCAGCTCCTAAAACAACGCCTGCCCGGCCTCCTACTCAGACCCCAAGAATCCGGTCTGGGTTGTGTCCCAGTCTTCCCAAGGTGTCCCAGAAACTCAGGAAATCGACAGTCGAGACTCTCAGAGAGGATGGCGTCTAGAAGGTGAGGCGCATTCTTGGGAGAGGAGAAGGAGCCTGGGCAGGAGGAGGGGAAATAAAGAGGGCTAAGGGGAGGGGAGGACCCTAGGTGAACGAGAAGTGGGGAGAGAATGGGTTTCCTGGAACACTGAGAGAGGGGAGAACGGGAGGAAGGGCTCAGACCAGGAAGCCTCTGCTTTCTTCTTATTATTATGTTTTAGAATTATTTAATTTTATTTTTTATTATTACTTTTTAGTTTGGTATAGGGTACATGAGGTCACCAGAGAGAGACCAAGGAGGAGAGAGAGAGAGAAAGTGAGAAAGCAAGTCGCCTGGTCTGGGACTCAAACCACAGTGAGCCATGTGGAGAGTCCAGTGCCTTAACCACATCACCTGTTGGCCCTTCTGTTAAAAAAATAAAAATGATGTATGTATGTATTTGTTGTGATGCTCGAGCTGCCAGGTTCAAGACTCAAACCACGGCTGGCCATGGGGGCATCCAGTGGCTTAGTCACCACACTGCCTGGCGGCCCCAGCGCTCCCTGCTCTCAATTCAGCAAACACTACTTTTCTCCTTCATACGAGGAGCCGTGCAGCATAAGGGATATTCTGGGCCAATTCGTCCATTCAGACATCTACCATGAGGACTTCCAGAGGCGTCGGAGCGGCACCCAGGCCCTAAGAGGGGACCCAGGGCTCTAAGAAGGCAACGAGTCTGCATGGCGTTCACACAGTTTATTTATTGAGCCCTCTGTCCCCCAGGCCCTAAGAGGGGACCCAGGGCTCTAAGAAGGCAACGAGTCTGCATGGCGTTCACACAGTTTATTGAGCCTCTGTCCAGGACCCAGGGCGCCGGCAGCCTGCTCCCGTCTCTGAAACGCCCTTGTGTTTCCCTTGTAGGGGAAGCACTGGGGGGAATGGGGGTGACCAGGAGGGAGGCTGAGACGAGACCATGAGAGGCACGGGGAGTGTTGGAGCAGAGAGCTTAGAGGGCAGGGGGTGAGCTCTCCAACGGTGGGCAGGGTGGGGCCGGGAGGGAGAACTCAGCTTATCAGGGTGGTTGACCAGATGGCGTACCGAGGTCGCCGGACGTGGTCCCTGTTTCCAGATAACGGCCTGGACTTTGCTTTCTCTGGCAAAGGGGGAGAGGAATGGCTAAGTCCTCCGGGCACCAGAGGCAGGCGCTCTGGGAGCATTTCAGGGTTTCCTCTGAATGAAGAAGCTGAATGGGCAGGGTTCGCCAATGGACCCCCTGGAAGACACAGCAGAGGAAACGCTCAGGGTGACTGGCAGACGGGGAACGGCAGTGGGA